CAGCACTGGCCCTCACAATTGCTATTTTAAAATGAATTTTGAGTCCGAACAACAATTGTGACCCAATTAAAATACTATTGTAACACCATAATCAATTAGGTGTTATTCATTGTGATATCATAAAATTTCCATTGTGGTCTTATAATAAATCATGATGTCATAAATTATGCCTTGTGATGTCATAAAAGAATATTGTGATGCCACAATACAATGTATGTCATAAAGCCATTGCGATCCATAAACCTGGCATTGTGATATCATAATCAAGTGTCTTGTCACAAAGCACAATTTTGAAGTCATAAAGCACAATTGTAACTTTTACAGTTATTTGTGGTGTCAAAAACAATAGCAATGTTATGCAATAAAATTGTGTTGCCATAAACCTACCATTGTGACAATTTGGTGTCTAACCCACAATTTCATGTCATAAATCATTATCAATTTTGATGTCATAGAAACATCTACAATGTCATAAATTTACCAGTTGGATGTCATAATCTATTGTCATGCCATAAGCTACAGTTGATATCAGCAACAGTGATGTCAGAGTCCCATACTGGGATGTATCAAACCAACCACCATTATATCATAATTAATTCAAAGTGATGTAATAAAATGTGTGCTCATAATACCATTATGACATCATAAATCTATTGTCATGCCTTAAAAATTATAATATAAGCCAACATTGAGATGTCATAATAAAAATGTGATGTCAAAAAAGTATTATGAACTCAAAATCTATTGTGGTGACACAAAACCATGTGATTCCTTAAATCCACCATTGCTGTGGTATAAAGAAGTGTTATGCAAATGTAATTGTGGTGTCACAATCAACATGACATTATAATCACTATTGTGATGTCATAAACCAATAATGTGATGCTTCTTACATACCACAATGATGTAATAAAGCAATCTTTGTGTTGTTGCAGTTATCTGTAAAGTCAATCAGACCATTGCAATATAAACTACTATTGGGATATCAGAATAAACTAATGCCATAAATCATAATTCTGATGACATAAAACACCATTGCTATTTCACAAATGTCTTCTTTGAGTTTAGTAGGGTGTATTTGATAGTCTCCAGTCACTAGTTGTGTGTATCTAAGGCACCATTATGTTTTGTTTTATGGTGGTGTTGGAAAGACTTTCCAGACTCTTCTATGACCTACTCTGCTCAACCAGCAGAACGGCAGGAAGGTGAAAGACCAAGAGGCACCATGTGGACTGGGCCCGAGGTCCTCAAGGCAGAAAGCTCCCACAATCCAAATGATAATGTATGCTGATAGTCAGATCCTGTGTAGTCTCCTCCTCTGAGTATGATTGGAATATGGGAATCCCTTTTACTGAATACTGATGGGGTAGTTTTGAGAAATAGAATTTCTCAGGCCCTGTTGTTAAAATAAAAATATTCAGGAGAGTTACTTGAAGAGTTTTTTAACTTAAGTATTAGGGGATTCATGAGTCAGGCAGCATTCAATAATAGAAGACATTGAGGGTTGGCGCTGTGGCTCATTTGATTAATCCTCCGCCTGCAGCGCCAGCATCCCATGTGGGCGCTGGGTTCTAGTCCCAGTTGCTCCTCTTCCAGTCCAGCTCTCTGCTGTGGCACGGGAAGACTGTGGAGATGGCCCAAGTGCTTGGGCCCCTGCACCCGCATGGGAGACCAGGAGGAAACACGTGGCTCCTGCATTCGGATCGGGGTAGCACTAGCACGGAAGGAAGACCTTTCTCTCTGTCTCTCTCTCTCTCATTGTCTATGGTTCTACCTGTCAAATAAAAAAAAAAAGACATTCAGAGAATTTCTTTAGCAGGCTGAATATGGAGGCAAAATAAAGGCATTATTTGGTTAGATACAGTTTGGTTTGTGGCCTAAGTAGATGTGATTTACTGAGTGGTCCCTTTTTAGGCGCTAATAGTCAAGCTTAAGTTTTGTTTCACTGTTTAAATTAGACTTTGGTTTACTTATGGAAGAACCCAAGGTGCTAGAACTCTCTGAATTGAACAACCTCTACTGTTTGTTGAATTTCATCTTTAGTGGAGGTTGATCTCATAAAAATAAAGTAACTGAAAGATACTTGAGACAGGAAGGAAGAGGGGTAGTTAGAGTAGAGAGGCATGAAGTGGGATAGGGTTTGAAGTATCATTATTCTTTAAAAACTGGATATATCAAGTACATGAAATTTGTTCCCTTTAAATAAATTTAAGAAATAAAATAGAAAATTTTGAATACTGTGTGAGTAGCCACAGACCTCAGAAAACACGCTTTATAGTTATAACATAAGGAAAGCTCAGTCTTTCCAAACCTTCCTATAAAATTGCAAGTAAAATGTATTATAAAGTAGCCTCATGAAATTATTCAAAATTGAGTTGTCTGCATTTTCTCTTTCTGGGGTGAATGTCATCATTTTAAAAGTTGTACCTATTATTTATATTTATTTTCTACATTAAATTCATTTTCTTGCCTACATTTATATTTGTATATGTGTATTTTTTTAAAAAGTATCTATTTACATTTTATACATTTTAATATTTATGCATCATGTAAGCCCCCTCCTGCCATTCTTTTCCTTGTTCTGCTTTCATACAAAATGGCTTTAAAATAAGGATTCAAATATTCTCCTGATTATGGACTATTTTAGCTCCTACATATTAGAAAATGCAAATTATATTTCTGTCTGTATTTGGATCATTTCAATTACTACAATGTCCCTGGAAATGGCAGATTATTTTGTTGACATACCACATTTTCTTATTCATTCAAGTTTATGTTTTGGGTATTGTGCATAATGCTACAATAAATATAAATATACTGATATCAGTATCCTATGATATATACCCAGGACAGAATTGCTGGATCATGTGACCCTATGGTTTGAGAATGTACCTGACAGTTCATGTAGTGGATACTTTGTTGTAGGGCTTGATGGTGCTATAGTGAAATCTTTTAGAGGTAGATCCTAGTGTTCAGTCATTAGGTTTATGGGTAGCACCTACTTTGGAAGATTATTGCCTATCTTTACAGTGAGTTCTTACTAGAGCATATATTATAAAGTTAGGTAGCCCCACAGGATTGGCCTCCTTGGCACAAAGTCACTCCCCTTTTTTTCTATCAAGTTGAAACACAGCAAGGGGAGTCATCATAAGGAGATAACTTGATGATGCTATGAAAACTAAAAAATATATATACAAATTGCTTATGCAGAAACTAGAATACATCCAAATCATGTAGGGAGGGACTACTGTATATTGAATCATAGTAAAGGTTTGTTGTCATAGCTGATAACCAAATACTTCCATTCATTGGCACATATTGCCACTTTCTACTATGTGCCAGATTCTATTCTAGATGCTCAGGTCAGAGCAATAAAGAAAACAGACACAAGACTATGTTGTCATGGGGCTCTCAGTTTAGTATGTGGAGAGGAAAACAAATGATTCATGAAAATAGATACATGTGGCTGTCACTGTGGCATAGCAGGTAAAGATGCTACCTGTGTTGTCAGCATCGCATATGGTAGCAGTTCGAATCCTGGCTGCTCCACTTCTGATCCAGCTCTCTGCTATGGCCTGGGAAAGCAACAGAAAGTGGCTCAAGTCCTTGGGCCCCTTGCACCCACATGGAAGACCCAGAGGAATCTCCTGGGTCCTGAAATCAGATTAGCACAGCTTTGGCTGTTGTGACCATCCGGCAAGTGAACCATCAGATGGAAGACCTCTCTCTCTCTCTCTCTCTCCCTCTCTCTCTCTGCCTCTGCCTATCTGTAACAATGCCTTTCAAATAAATAAATAAATCTTAAAAAATAGATAAAATGCATGGCATGCTTGATAATATGTACCGTGGAAAGTTTAAATTTATATCCTTTGTATGTACTAAAAACTCATTGCTGATTGAGCAATGTTCATTCCTCTTATCACTTCTCAAAATTTTTGTTCATTCCAGTACCCCCTTCCAATGTGATTAGCAACTGTTCACAGTTAAATTAGTTGGTAATTTTAATTCCTATTGAGATTTTCTTTCCTATTGTGATCTCTGGAATAATATCATCTGGCAGGTGGGCAGGTCTATGTGGGCATCAGTGCTACTGGAGAGTTTCATGCAGTAGAGTTCTTGCTTGCAGTAGTTCTATGAAATGCAAAAAAAAAAAAAATCTGTGAGTACTCCCTCAGACCACCTGAAATGGTTGTTTTTTGTCCCTTCATTATTGGAAATAATAATAAAGGGGAATAGGAGGTTGACCACCAGAAGTTGTCAGGTGGTTTGGGGTATTAATTGGGAAACAGCAAATGTTGGTTGAAGACCAAAAAATTCCACTAAGACAAAAAAAAATAATTTCAATGCCAGGTGATCATAGTTAACAATTTATGTTTCTGTGTGGGAACAAACTGTTGAAATCTTTACTTAATGTATGCTAAACTGATCTTCTGTATATAAAGAGAATTGAAAATGAATCTTGATATGAATGGAAAGGGAGAGGGAATGGGAAAGGGGAGGGTTGTGGGTGGGAGGGACGTTATGGGGGGGAAGCCATTGTAATCCATAAGCTGTACTTTGGAAATTTATATTCATTAAATAAAAGTTAAGAATAAAAAAATAAAAAAATAAATCTGTCATAAAAAACAATATATTGTGTATTTCCAAATTGCTAATATATTTTAAGTGTAGGCCTTTGGCCTAGTAGCAAGATGCTGGTTGTTACATCGGCATCCCTTATCAATGTTCCTGGATTAGAGTCTTGTTTCTGGTCCTGATTTTTCCTTCCCACTAATATAAACCATGAAATGAAGCAGCTGGGGAATCAGATAGTTTGGTCTTTCCAAACCATCCGGAATACTGGGATTAAGTTCATGGTCTTTTAGAATATATGTTAATTTGATGCCATTAGATAGGGAAAGTGTCCTTAAGCAGATAGGAAAAGAGTAACTATAAAGGAGAGCTTAATCAGTTGAATTGTATTCTAGTTAAAATTCTCTGCTTAATTCTCATTATATCAGACTTAGGTTTCCTGTGCTCAGAGACAACTACGCAAGGACTAGAGTGAACAGGTGCAAATGAAGGAGGAGAGCCAGTAGCTCTACTCAGTGACCCTGGCTGTGAAGAATCAGCTGGTTGGTTACAGAGCAGTCTCCATCTCTGGAACAAGTGCATCCTCCCTGATTCAGATGTATGTGGTAAGGACGGGCCTCACAAGATCAGCTGGATAACTGGTCCAGTGTGGATCAAGAAGCACACATGAGAGGTCCACCAGAATGGACTCAAGAGACTGAGAGCTTTTGTCCAGATGGGGAACTGCATGTTGAGAAGATATATGTCACCACTTTAAAATCAAAGGGTGTTGGACTCATAAATGGGAGCACAGACTTAGCAGTTCTAATCAGGTTAAACATTCACTTTTGAGCAAATCATAACAAAGGGGTGTCTGGTGGGTATCAGAAAAACAGGAAATTTTTCAGTTGGTAAACTGTAATTCCTCTACTTCTGTGCATGCGAAATAGAAAGACTAGTGAAACTGGTAGAGGAGACTGAGGGATAGGTGGCAAAACACATCAACACAGAAATTGGGGTCCACATCTAAATAAATTGCTTTGAGAAGGACAATGCAGACCATGGACCATTGTACTGCTGAAATGCAGTTACCCCGGGCTAGAAGGAAGTAGAGGAAATGCAGCCTGTGTTCTGCTACCAATGCAGGAGCCCTGGCACAGGGATTTGTGGAGGGGCCAGTTTTCTGATTTATAGGTGCTTCATTGTTTCACTGAGACCCAACACCACAGAAGAAGAACCGGGGTTGCCACTGGGAGTCTCCTGGAGCAATGGAGGCAGATTGAAAAATCAGATGTGCTTGTACTTGTTCTGAAGCAGAGGTTACTGATTTACTTGTATCTGTTGACAAGACTGAGAGCAAACAACCTGCCTAGATAGGCCTGCCTTGGAGAAATGAGTTCAAAGTTGAGAAGTGTGGGGTTCAGCTGCTCTCCTCCACTTTCTTCCAAAAACCAGGAAAGTTCACTGTTCCCTGAGGTGGCTCCTATTTCCAATGATGCCAAGACCATGGATGTCATGCTTCTAAAGTTGAAATGACAGTTAAGGGCCTGCAGGGAGATGAGCTGATGCCATTCCTTCCCTGTAACCACATCTTGAGCATTCATTTCATAATGAATTCACATCAGAGGCTTGGCTGGGTGAGTGTCTTTCTGTTTTATTCACAGAGTGAGCTCCAAGAGCTTGTGGATCCTGGGCTGAAGCAGGATTGGTCTCAGTGAACTGTTAGGAAGATTTTCTGCTTGATGACATAGGTCTTAGATATTACTCCACCACTAACACTATAAATGTCTCTAGACATGAAATGGTGAAATTCATGAAGTATGGAAGGCCATAAATGAAATGGTTTGCAGAAGTATATTGTGATTTTTTATCTACTTGTATTAGTTTTGTATCTGGTTTTCCTCAATCTAGTATATTTCTCAATTTGACATATTTTTTCCAAGTAAATTTGTTCTAGCAAGACACAAGAAACCTGAACTAATTCATTATGCTTTAGTGATATTTATTTTTCTTCTGTCAAGTTTTGAAATTTTTCAGAAAGCTTTAGGACTGTTCACCTCATTGTCCCAATAGTTATGCAATATTCTTATATTATACAATAATGAGCTTAACAGGTGGATATACACATTGAGACCTATATGGAGTCCCTCTGTCCTATCTTTGTCCAGACCAAGTCTCAGCATTTGTGGGCATGTTGATGAGTACATCAGTAAACCAGTTGATGGAAGATAACTCTCTCTCTCTCTGTCTCTCTCCCCCTCCCTCTCTTCTTCATTCTGCCCCTACAGTGTGTCACTCTGTCTT